TTTTTTTTTTTAATCTTCGACTTTCTTTTTTTTTTTTTTTTCCCTATTTCAAACTATGTTTTTTTTAAACAGTGACTCAGGAGCAGTTCCCCCCTTTAAAAAAAAAATAAAAAATTATTCCAGCAGTTCCTGCCAGCTAGGATTTCCCAGAAATGTGATTGTCTGCAGCTTTATGACCTGGCACTGCCAGCTGTCACAGAGTTCTGATGTTGTTGTCAGTTGGCACAGCCTGGAAGCGTTAGTCTTGTGATAAATAAACAGCAGGCACTAGCCATAGAGCTATGTATTATCCTTATGATTCTGTCCAGATGCAGATGAAAATGATGATCATTCCCCTGGCTTCAGAGTTATGATGTTGTCGTCAGCTGGCACAGCCTGGAAGCTTAGGCTTGAGATAGACAGCTCGCACTAGCCATAGTGCTATGTATTATCCGTATGATTCTGTCCAGATGCAGATGAAAATGACGATCCTTCCCCTGGCTTCCGAAATTTTCCATGAATCCAGACTCGAGCCATAGGGATCTGTTTGCGCCTGTTCACAAGTCTCACACAACAATACTCGTTCTCCTCCTGCACAAGACAGCAAACCACATTAAAAAAAAAAAAAAAAAAAAAAAAGAACAAGAGCCAGAAGAAGAAGAAGAAAGCAAACCACAAGCACCCACAAAATGAGTATTGTTGCGTTAGAGAGCCTCGGCACACCACTGTCGAAACGAAAAACGAAAGACTGCATCTTCACGCAGACCGTGGCCAGATGCATCCGTTACTACGAATAGCAACGGATGCATCTTACCACTTTCTGTGGAAGATGCATTCTTTCTTTTTTCGTTTCTACAGTGGTGTGGCGAGGCCCAGAGTTGTGATTTGCCTGGCCTGGGGCTAGGTCCCACTTGCACGCATTAAGAGATACTGACCTTAGATAGCAAAGATCAACGGCCGAAATCTCCTAATTTGCGGGAGTGGGACCTGGCCCCTGGCCTGGCCTGGCCTCAAGAAACACGCAGCTGACTATCCCCTCTAAGGATGAATCGCTGGCCTGAAGAAATTAGAAGAGAAAATCTGAATAAGCAGCGGGCGCTAGCCCTATAAATTTTGACTCTTGGAGTATTCTTTTGGTGGGGGGAAGGGGTTGCCTGTTCGCACTGGAACACATTCGCAGCTTTAGACTAGGGTTCTTCCCCCGAATACAACGTACGGTCATTAGAGCTGCATTTGGGGTATCTTTCAGTCTAAATACAGGTATAATCACCGTAACGTTGTATTCGGGGGAAGACGGTAGCTGTCCCAGAGGCTCGAATAAATGGCATGTGGGCAACACGGAATTACCTGACCCGTACCAGATGGTCTAGGTCATATACCTGTTGCCCCGACCATTCGGAATTACCTGCTTATTCAGGGAATCAACACGGGTTGAGGTTGGGAAAATGATAAAAATGGGACTGAATGGGTAGGCATACATGAGAAAGAAAAAAACGGAACCGAATGCCATTGGGTAGGCTTGCACAACCTACAACCTCAACCCTAATATAACACTGCAAATGCGCAGTAGGAATTGGCAACCCCCCCCCAACCCCCCCAACCCCCCCCCAACACACTCACCCCTTCCCCCCCACTTAAAAAAAAAAAAAAAAATTTTTTCCCTTTTTTTTTTTTTTTTTTTTTTTTTTTTTTTTTTTTTTT